CTGTGCTACCCTTGGGCAGATGGTTTTAACTTGTATGAGAAAGCAGGCTGAGCAAGTAAGGAAGAGCAAGCCAATAAGCAGTGTTCCTCCTTGGCTTCTACTTTGGTTCCTGCCTCCAGGTCCCTGCCTTGAGTTCCTGACATGACTTCCATCAACAACAGGAGTGTGACCTCAGAGTCCTAGTATGAAATAGACCCTTTCCTCCCTAAGTTGTTTTTGGTCATGGTATGTTAACACAGAAAGAGAAGAGTAACTAAGACACCAGGTGATTCCAAGTTGTGTCAAGTTGACAGTAAATGCCATACAAAAATGCACACGCTTATGAACTTGAGATTTACTAGCATAGCATACACATAACATGCATATGGGTCTGGGATTCTCTTTGTAGTGCTCAGCTAACACTCTTAGTAGCATCTGAGGATTTGTGGAGATGCAGATTTGAGGTTCCACACCAGACTTACTGAATCAGAGACTCTGGGATTGGAGCCCAGCAACCTAAATTTTAAAAGACCTTCTGGGTATTTCAGTGCTCACTCGTGTTTCAGAATGACAGTTATACAAGCTATGGTGTTAAGAAGGCTGCCACTCGGCGGGGCATTGGTGGGACACGCCTTTAATCCCAGCACTTGGGAGGCAGAGGCAGGCAGATCTCTGTGAGTTCAAGGCCAGCCTGGTCTCCAGAGCGAGTGCCAGGATAGGCTCCAAAGCTACACAGAGAAACCCTGTCTCAAAAAAAAAACAAAAACAAAAACAAAAACAAACAAAAAAGGAAGGCTGCCACTCAAACTGATGGCTGTAATTGTTTTGTTTATCATACCTCTATCAAAGTGCCAAATGATATCAACAATCCACAAGCACTGATATAGTTTCCCAAGTCACAGGTTTTTTCCTCTGATAAAATTAGATATTTTTTAATATCTTGAATTCAAGGAAGGCTATTTTAGCCATGTGTGTTATCATCTGTATGCTGTGCTCAGTTCCTTCTACTTTTTTTTTGTTTTATGTATGTGAGTGTTTTGCCTGCATGTATGTGTATGTGTCACATGTGTGCCTGGTACCCAAGAAAGTCAGAAAAGGATGTCAGATCCCCTGGAACTAGAGTTATAGATCACTATGAGCCATCACTAGTGGGTGCTGAGAATTGAACCCAGGTCCTCTGAAAGGACAACAAGAGCTCTTAACCCTTGAGCCACCTCTGAGGCCCCGATGCTCAGTCTTAACCAGCATGTTTCAGTACAGCACTAAAGCATGGAAAAGTATCAAATTTTTCAGTTGCATATCAACTGCTATTTATATTCTATAACATTTAACTTATGCCTCCTTGGGGCAAAAACTTTAAAAATGGTAAGTTAGATAACACTTATCTTAGTAATAACTTAAAGCCTTTCAATGATGTGAGAAATGGAGTATCCCTAAATAGTAATTGTCCCATCAGAATAAAATGTCATTTGCACAGTGAGGCTCTATCTTTGCCTGCTGTGTTATGTGGGAAAGGAGAGCTGGCCTGGAATCCTGGGCAAAACAGGGCCCATTTCACCGTTGCAAAGTGCCTGGTGATTAAACATTGCCTTAGTGCTTCTTTTGTTTTTCTAATGCCACTCATAGATCATTCTTGACACTTAAAATGCACCAAATGTGTCTATTATTATGTCTTATTTGACCAATAAAAGTATATGTTTATCACATACAATGTTTTGAAATATGTATGCATGGAAAACTGGCTTAATCTGATGACTGTATGTATTACCTCACACCCTTTGATTTTTTTTTTTTTGAAAGAACACCTAAAATTACCTCAATGCTTCTCAAGGACACAACACATTGTTAGCTGTAGTCACCAAATTCTACCCTAGATTTTATACCCTTTGGCCAACAGAGTGTCACCCTTCCTCCAGCCCCAGTCCTGGCCACCACCATGCTCTGTGCCTTTGTGAGGTCAGCTGGTTTAGACAGCACACTTTACTTTGAATATAATACCTGACATTCTGTGCTGAGTTCATTTCACGTCCTATTATACTTTCCATTTCCACCAAGTCACAAATGTTACTTCCTTCTTGAAGACTTCAGTGTGCCACAGTGCATGCATATTAGGCCAGTATCTGATAGGCAGCATTTTTCATTTCTTCTCTCCTGTGCCTCATGCCACACTGACATGTGGTAAGTGCAGAAGCCTCTTGACATAATGGTCTCACCTCCTTGGCATCACATGGTAGGTTTAGTTTTGATTTTTCTGAGGGCAGTCCATACTGTTTTCACAATACTATGAATCACACCTTTCTAACAACAGTGTATAAGAGCCTACTTTGCCTCCATCTTCTCCAACATCCTTTTGACCCTTTTGGCAACAGCCTAACTTAAGTGAGGTGATGCCCACTGTGGTTTTCATTGTTATCTCCTCTCTGCTTAGTAGAGGAGACTACTTTTTATAAACCTGTTGGTAATTTGCATTTCTTCTTCCAGGAACTGTCTCCTAATGTCTTTGGCCATTTTCAACAGGGCTATGCTTTCTTGCTAATCACTCATTGGTGTTCCTCATATTTCCAAAATGGGTCATCTGAGAAGAGATAACCTCAACTAAGGAATTTCCTCCCTCAAATGGGCTTGTAGGCAAGCCCGTGAAACATTTTCAAGATTAGTGAGTGATTGATGTGGGATGATCCAGCCCACCATTGGAGATGCCGGCCCTTGGCAGGTGGTCGTGGGTTATATAAGAAAGCTGGCTAAGTATGCCAAAAATGAGTGTTCTTCCATGGCCTCTGCTTCAGTTCCTGCCTCCAGGTTCCTGCCTTGAGTTCCTGCCCCAGCTTCCCTTGATAATAAACTGAAGCCTGAAAGATGTAATAAACCCTTTCCATCCTAAATTGGTTTCGAACAGTGTTTTATCATAGCAACCAAAAGAAAACTAGGACATGCTCTTTTCTCATGTAGTACAGTTTAGTGTTTTTAAAATATTTACATATGGATATCGATGAATTTTAAGGAGGTGCCTTGAATCTATAGACTTCTTTGTGTGGTGTGGACATTTAACATTCATAATTTTTCCAACCCCAGAGCCCTCAACTTTCTTGCTAGTATATAAATAAATAACTTTGTGATTAATGTGTCTACATTTCGAAGAATTGCTTTAACTTGTCAGTGAAGGGACCAGCAGAAAGATGAAGGAGTTGGCACCAGAAGCAAGGCAGTCTTGAGCAGAGCTCCCAAAACTGCTGAAGACATAAATGTAAGAAAATTCACCAAGTCACACACAAGACTGATTAGCTGTCTGTGAACAGCCCACCTAGCATTCACAGTTAGCTTCTCTTCCAGGCAACAAGATCATAACTACCTGGTACCTTAAAAAATTGTAAATCACCTGCATTTTTGTATTTTTTAGTTGTATTCTTTTTTCTTTGTTTTTATTTTTGTTTTTGTTTTTTGAGATAAGGTTTCTCGGTGTAGCCCTGGCTGTCCTGGAACTCACTCTATAGACCCAGGCTAGCCCCAAACTGGAGATCCACCTGCCTCTGCCTCCCAAATGCTAGGACTAAAGGCATGCACCACCACTGCCTAACTTATTAATTTATTTTTAACTATGTGTATGTGTGTTTGTCCACATGCCCATGTGCACATGAGTACAGGTGCCTACAGATGCCAGAGGAATCAAATCTCCCTAGAATGGGAGATACAGGCTGGTCTGAGCTGCCTAATGGGGGATTCTGGGAATCAAATTCAAGTCTTCTGTAGGAGCAGTGTACTCTATTATCTTCTGAGACATCTCTCCAGCACTTGTATTTGTATATCCTTGTTAATAAAATATATTGTTCCCTAAGAGTGTCCTGTGAAAGTAGTAGTGAATGGAATCTTCAAAAAAGACAAGTTATCATAGCCCTACAACCTGTTAATATCACCATGCACAGGGAAGACAGGACTGAATGGGTGATCTAGAGAGAAGGGGAGTTTCCTGTGATGTTTGGAAAAGCCCTGATTACAATCCCAGATACCTTCTAAGACTGAAGCAGAAAAGGAAGGACTGAGAGAAAAGAGGCAACATGACCATAACCCACGTGAAGCCCTGTTTACAGGAAGGGACATGGAGGAGACCACCCCAGAGATATAGAGAGCACAAGGCTGCCACCACTGTGGCTATGTACTAGTAGCCTATAGAACATTGAGTGTCTAGATTTCTTTTGTGTTAAACCACTCAGTTTGTGAAGACACATTTTTGGCTGCCCTAGAACACTAATACAGACTTGCTAGAAAATTCCCTAGTACAATAGAAAGAAATCAAGCAATTCCAGCTTGCCTTTCATAAGAAGTACTGGATTTCTTCTCAGCCTCATGGGCCAGTGATTGGGAAGCTGTTCCCTGTTTCATTGGCTCAGAGTTCACACCACGCCTGAGAGTATTGCACAAGAATCCATATGCAGACGTACATTTGACACCATCTAGAACTGGATGACTTCGTGCCTGAGAAATACTTTAAAAACACTTTTCAAGGCACTAGGGAGATGGCTCAGTCAGTAAAATGCTTGCTAAGTACAGTCCCCAGCACTCACTTCAGGCCTAGTAGTGCACACTTGTAATCCCAGCACTGGGAACAAGTTGAGAGGAGGGCCCATGGAAATCACTGGCCAGAAAGAGTGGGCTAAGAAAGCCCCAGTACCCAGTAAGAGAGCCTATCTCAAATGGTAAAATGAATGGTGCCTAATGAATGATACCACAGGTTGACCTAGGTCCTCTGCTGTACACACAAAAACACATACACAGACACAGACACACACACACAGACACAGACACAGACATACACACACACATACACACACACACACACACACACACACACACACACACACACACACACACACACACACACACACAGAGTGCGCACGCGCACCTAAGTGTGCACATACACAGGAAATCCTTTGGAACTCTAAGGAAGCAAGGCGAGAAGAAGAAAACTACTTCTGGTTTTGTGCCACATGATGCCAATAATACATCACCTGTTTGGTTTATTTCAGGCTCGGCTCACCAAAGAGCATCGCTGGGGGAGCGCTCTGCTCTCCAGGAACCATTCTTTAGAAGAGGAGTTTGAAAGAGCAAAAGCAGCAGTAGAGGTAACTCTTAAAACAAGAACTCTCCATTTCAAGCTTCTGAGATGGCAAAAAATAAAAAATAAAAAAATAAAAAACCCTCAAACCACAGAGACATGCACGTGAGATGGAACTGAGAAAAACACGAGGATAGTTGTTGAGATGAGAGTGTGGTCAGAGAGTCTTTGATTCCCCACCAGGATGCAGGGAAATGTCTGCTGGTCTATGGTCCTCTGATCAGTTGGCTATGCAAGTCTGAAGCCTGGATCAGAAAGCACTCTGAGGCTAGTCTGGGTTCCCTGGATTTGTCCATTGGACAACCCATCTTAACCAGCACCATTAACTCTTAGTACTGTGTCAAAATATTGTTAATGAGTAAAAAGAGCTACTTTATCTGAACACTAATTTCTAATTAGTTTTCTGGTGGAAAGGGAGGAGAAAGAGAATAAAGGCCAAAGGAAAAAAGAAACCGGTGAAAAAGCAGTTCTTTGCAGGTTCTTTTACCCATTTGCATCCTGGCAGGACTGGCAGGGCGCCTCGCAGATGTTGGGCACTCATCAAGCTTTCTTAGAAGTGCTGTTTGGAAATGGAGCTTTTTTAGACTCAAGCATGATCCTGTTAATACCTCTGTTGCCGTTGGTGATTCCAATCTTGAAAACTGCAGGCGCTCTTGGAATATGCCTCACTTATGTAGCCTTCTCACCCCCAGAATTCAGATGGAATGATTATATTAAGGGTGGTCTTCCAATAACTCTATACTCAGGGTGCGGGAAAATCCTATTTGCAATTTAATGTTACCAGGTTCTGTTCTGGGAAATCATCTCAGCCATGATTCATAGCATGCAGAAACCCAGTAAGAGCACACTTCTATCTCCCCATGCTAAAATCGTTCAAATTCCCTCTTTAATTTTAAACTTCTCTAATTTAAAAAAAAAAAAAAGCTAATGAATATTTTAGTGTTCTGAGCAGGAGCCACTGATGCAGTTAGTCAAGACCAGCCGAGTTCAATCAGGTTGCTCAAATGCACGGAGCCTGTAGCTTAAATTATCTTAAATGTAAGCTTTTCAGTTTTAAGAGCTAATTTAAATATATCTACTGAGCCCCTACTGTGTGTGGCACACAGCAGTAGCTCTCAGACTGCTATTTAGACACATAGAATCTTGGGTCAAGAACGATATTAGCATTTGGTCTCATTTGTAATGAGAAAGATAATGAATTTAAACCCAAAAGACTCCATGGTGGAATTGATTGACAAGGAAAATGTATTTAGGTACGTATTCATTGAATTGAATCTGAGTTTGAGTTTCATAATCTAAAAACCCCTCTATCCTACTAGGAAAACATTTTTTTAACTCGACAAATTACTCCTGTTTCTACCTGAACAAATACAATTAGGGGCAGCCTCCCTCTTTTCAAGAAACCTATTTCCATCTTGAAAGCTACTAATTATCAACAGGCTCTTTCTTATAATGAAAATGACAAAACAGAACATTTCCATGTTGCCTGGTGTCAACTTTCCTCACTTCCATCCATCTCACTCCACCAAGCTGTGTCTTCTACCTTCCCCGTCTCTCTCCTGGGGGCTGGGTTGTTATTCTAATGCATCCCTAATAGCTACAGGACATCATCATGTCAGTAACCAGTCTAGACCTCCTCAGTGCCCAACCTCTGCAGTTCTGGATCACAGATCCCAGGGGTCTGTAGATTACTTTAGTAGATATTCATGTAACATACACTCCTGGCTGCCAGTGGGGGGTCCTCTTTCCCTCTCAGTCCGTTGATCACCAGGTCTAAAGGGGAAAGAGGAAGATGGGGCAACAGAAAGCTTTGTGCTAGGCCCATGAGCACAGAGACAGTCCTCTGGGACACAGATTTTGGTAAGTCAGCTTAGCGTTATTCCAGAGTATAAGGAATATATAGTATTGGGGAGCCTGGGGACAAACCCTAATTTGCATTAAATGGCAAGCTCGTATCATGAGGCTTAGTATGTGGCAGTAGGGTCCTATAGCAGAGCTCCTAGCACAAGTTTTCTTAGTAGAGATCTGTACCAAGGGTCAAGCTAAAGATGAATCAGTCATCTGCCTTAGAGACAACTGTTAGGTAAGGTCAGTCCTCCAGGCCCAGGGACATTCTCCAGATAAGGGCAAGCAGAGAGCAGGAGGCTTTGCTGAAGGGAGGGTGGCAGTTTCCATGTTATCGAGCTATTGAAATAAGCTGTCAGGCCATGGTAGACAGATACCTCTAACCAAGCCAGCAATGTATTCCAACAGCTGCCTACAAGTACTGACTGCTGAACTAAGGACTAAAGACAAAAGACCCAGCCTTAAATAACTGCATGACAATATCAGGGAGCAGAGGACCAGCTTGGACCAACCACTTGCCCCTTCTACTGGAGTTTCATGCCATCTGTGAGATGAGGACTTGGATTTCTCCTAGACCCAAACCCAAAAGGTTCATGCCTTAAAATGAAAAGAGCGGTAGGGACAGGATTCCCAGCTAATAAGAAAAGTGAGCAACTCTCTTCAGCCTGGTGCTGAGACCTCTTTTTAAAGACTGAGAAGAGGTGATGGGTACCAGAGGGATGAATAGTTGTGGAGAAAAATGGGAGAGAGTGTTTACACAAAGCTGATGGTAAATCTTGCCTATAAAACTTTATACATCTGTGGACTTTTCTACTCCACATGTCACTCTATAGCTATTCATGGCAGAAGACACAACCTCATCCCTTCCCAGACTCCCCAGCTCCTAAAACTGTCTGTCACCTTGGGAGTGAGTTCAGCATATGAATCTTGAAAGAATGCCCAAACTGCAGCAGAGCATGTGTGCCCAAATGTTCACAGTATTTATTCTTGGAGGGCTGCACTTGAGGGTATCTGTATTTTTCTCTAGCCTGTCATATTGCTAACTGGAGAGAATCTTGCAGTGAGATGTCAGATTCTTAATTACATTTTATTTAGTGTGTGTGCGTGCATATTCGTATGTGGAGGTCGAAGGACAGGTTGCCAAAGTCATGTTTCTCTCCTTCCACCATGTGGGACCTGAGATTGAACTCAGGTTGTCAGGTTTGGTGGCAGGTGCCTTTACTCACTGAGTCATCTCACTGGCCCCAGATGTAAGATTCTAAAGGAAAATTGATGATATCAATGGATAGATTGCCTGACTTGGATTCAGGAGGCCCTGGGTTCTATTTCCAGTACTGCATAAATGTGCTGGTACACACCCATAATTTCAGCACTAGGGAGGTAGAGGCGGGAGAATCTGGAACTCAAGATCCTCCTCCACTACATAGCACCCTGGAGACACCCAGTCTCAAGAGAAAGGGGTTCCTAAAAGACTAATTGTGAATGAGGTCTGCCAGACTGGGGTAGCTTAGAGAGGATACTGGAGATGTGACTATGATCGCAGCCCATTATACATGGGTATGAAATTGTCAAAAATAAAAGGTAAAGCAAAATAAATAAAAGGAAAACTGGTACTGCTGATTGTTTCTCCAAAGGCAGTTATAAATACCAGTAAGATCCAGATGAAGGGGGCCAGAATATGTGGCTCAGTGGTTAAGGGCACTGCACTTGTAGAGGACCTGAGCTCAGTTCCCACCACCCACATTAGATAGCTCACAACTGCTCATAACTCCAGCTCCAGGGGATCTGCTACCCTCTTCTGGCCCCCACAAGCACCTGCATATTCCTAAACATCTCTCTCTCTCTCTCTCTCTCTCTCTCTCTCTCTCTCTCTCACACACACACACACACACACAATTGAAAAACAAACCAATGCCTTTTAACCTGGTCCCACTCCACCTGGTCCCTCTTTACCTGGTCCCACTCTGCCTGGTCCCTCTTCACCTGGTCTCTCTCCCCCTGGTCCCCCTCCACCGGTTCTTCACTTCCTGCTTCCTGTCTATCTTCTGCCTTTCAGTCCCATCCCTAAACTCTAACACACCAAGTTTATTACCCATGCTTCTACTTTCTATTTTTTGTGGGCACATTTCTTCTCCCAGTCCTCATGCAGTGGGGTAGCTAAGGTGGCAGCACCCCAGAAAAGTCATGAAGATCCCATTAATGGTTACATTACCAGGGATATTCCTGCTTTGCATTCATCACCCTGTATAATTTTGACTGTTATATATCTTTTTACTTAAAGTGTGTCTTCCGTGAGAGATGAAGCTTTCTCTTGTATTTGTCTACGTGAAATATAAATTTTGCCCAGAGCTACTTTATTGACTTGTATCCATAGTTTTCATTGTCAACTTAATACAACCTAGAGTCACCTGGGAATGTGGAACCTCAATTGAAGACTTGTCCAGATCATATTGGCCTATGGCCATGTCTGTAAGAGACTATCTTGATTGATGGCTGGTATGAGAGGGCCTCGAGCACTGTGGGCAGTACCATCCCTAGGCAGGTGAGTCTGTAGTATAAGAAAGCTAGCTGAGCATGAACCAAGGAGCAAACCAGCAACCAGCACTTTCCTTGGTTTCTGCTTTTGGCTCCTTGAGTTCTCTTCCTGAGTTGTTTTAGTCATTCTGTTTGTCATAGCAACAGAAAGTAAACTAGAGAACAGTTCCCCAGTATCTTCTGGAACAATTCTTGGTCCTTACTATATGCTGAGTGAAGGGGTGGTTGGTGCTGATCAGCACACAGGTAATACTTCCTTCTGTCTGTTTCCTGTTGTATATAAAGTGTCATATAACCTTCTACTGTAAGAGTAGCTTCATTTTTACACCATTCTTGTGTGACTCATGGCCACTTAAGGACTATGATGAATTGTCCCCTGTGGCTGTCTCCACCTCAATGTTGACATATTATAAGTATGTCAACATAGGTGGCATACTTATAATAACACAGCAAGTGCCAACCAATCACTCCATGACGTAGCACTGGGCATATTTTATATTCGCATTGGGTAAACTCACTTGTCCTCGCACTAAGACCTACACCTGTGATTTAGCTCGTTTTTAAGATAAAATGCCCTATTACTAGGCAAAAAACACACTGAAAAGCAGACACACATCTATTGCATAT